CTCCAGCAGATGATCAGATATGGCTTCTCTGGTGTGGTTGGAGTTCAGGGACAGGTCGTTCATACTGGTGATGAGTCGAGGCACCGCCTTTTCTTCCCGCTTCCCTTTCTGAGCCCGGTGGCTGTCGCCTTGTAGCCATAGCGATGCCTGCTTTCTGTTAAAGATGTAAACAAAAACACATTTAAAAGGCGAACTACTGATTCCAGAGGGCAGCTCCACGAAGCAAACAGAGAATCAAAGCTTGCTTGAATTGTGGCGTGTTCACATCTGGCTTGGCCTGTAGAGTACCAGTTGACTCCTTTTAAATCAAATCAAATCAAATCAACTTTATTTATAAAGTGCTTTCACATGCCCAAAACGGACAAACAAACGCTGTACACCAATAAAAGTCACAACAATAAAACAGACATATAACCATTTACAATACAATAAGAAATCCCGAGTACAAGTTCGCAATCCATATCAGTCCTGTTTCCAGAATCAGATCAAAGTGATGCTGCCCACGCAATCCCAACTTCAATGTCCAAACGCCAACGAGAACAGATGTTTTTAGTCGGCTTTTAAAGGTCTCAAGTGATTTGGCCTGCTTTACGTCGGCTGGCAGCTCATTCCAAAGACGGTCCAAGCACTGAAAAGGCACGACTCCCATGAGACTTCAGGCTGTACCTGGGCACGGTTAGTAGTCTCTGGTCAGCTGACCTAAGGGAACGCACCGGGACATGTTGGTGGATGATGCCAGAAAGGTATTTAGGTGCCCCTGTTAACGCCTTAAAAACAAACAGGATGACCTTAAACCTGATGCGATGAGACAGGGAGCCAATGCAAGGCACGTAGGACTGGTGTTATATGTTCAGACCTCCTGGTAGATGTTAGCAACCGAGCAGCCGAGTTCTGAACCGCCGGGAGGCGTGCTATTGGAGCTTGCCTAAAACCCGCCTATAGCGAGTTGCAATAATCCAGCCTGCAGGTAGCAAAGGCATGGATCACAGTTTCCAAATGACTGTGACAGAAATGGCTTAATTTTCACTATACGGCATGGATGAAAAAAGCAAGATCTCACGATTCCGTTCACTTGAGCATCAAATCTGAGCTCTGCGTCCAACTTTACCCCTAGGTTAGTGACCACCGCCTTCTGATGTGGTGCCAGTGTGGAAAATCAAGCCCTTGGGCACCTCCTAGGGTCTTTGGTGGAGTAAACAGAATTACTTCAGTCTTGTTTTTGTTGAAACACAAGAAGTTCTGAGCCAACCATAGCTTGATGTCCTCCAGGCAGTCCAACAGAGGTTGAACGGTGCATAAACCACCACGCCTAATTGGAAAAATGACCTGGCAATCATCAGCATATAGAAGGAATGACACGTCATGCTTGCGGAATAGGTCACCCAGGGGTAGGAGATATAGGGGGAATAATAGTGGGGCCAAAATCGATCCCTGGGGCACTCCCCAAGGCAGCTCAGCCAGGTCGGAGGAACAGTCCCCCAACCTCACACAAAAACTCCTCCCTGTCAAGTATGATCTTATCCACTTAAGAGCCTGGCCCGTAATGCCCACAGACCGCTCCAGCCGGTTTACTAGGATGTTATGATCAACGGTATCAAAAGGCTGATGTCAAGTCCAAGAGCACCAGAACCACAGCATCACCGGAATCATTAGCCAATAAAATGTCGTCGAGGACCTTCAGCAGTGCAGATTCAGTGCTATGAAAGGGTTTAAACCCAGACTGAAATACTTCTCCAACTCCCCATTGCTGTAGAAAAGACATCAGTTGGATAAACACAGCCCTCTCTGTGATCTTTGAGATGAAAGGCAGTGTAGATACAGGTCTGTAATTGGACAAGATTGTTGGGTCCAAACCTGATTTCTCAAGCAGAGGTCGTACCACCGCCTGCTTTAGGGGAGTAGGGACTTCCACAGATAGCAAGCTGCTATTTACAATGTTCAGTACGTGATCACCCACTACAGGAAAAACTTCTGTCAGTAGCCTTGCCGGGAGAACGTCAGTTACCGCCCCTGTTGGCTTAAGTCTCATGACCAGATCCTCAAGCTCTGCAAGAGTTACTGGTTGAAAACCCTCCAGTGCCCTTGGAACACAGATCAGCAGAGGGGGCATGCTTAAGTGGTGGAACAGAGGCCCTTGTCACCCTTACCTTGTCCACAAAGAAGTCCAAATGATTTTAGACTTAGGAGTTATTCAATTCCACAAACAAAGCTCGGGTGGGTTCAATCCACGCTAATTCGAGTGAGCGAGGCTCACGCACGTCCGCAAGCAGCCCTGTTACTCGATGCTAGATAAACGAGAATGTCAGGATAGACGGAGCCTTGTTCATTCATGCCTTCAAGGACTACGAAGGTATCAGAACTAAAACAGAGACCACCAGCTGTTCGATTAAAGCTGGAGCTTTCTAGTCACAATGCTCAGTGTGTGTACACGTTTCTATGGCAACGCCAGAGTCTGCATCAGTTTAGTTTCTTCACACAGTTTCTTCAGCTTTTCATGATTTGTGTCATTTTTCATGTTAGGTTCAACAGTCTGGATGTTTAGAGACTCGAAGACTTTGTTCACGCTGAGCAGCTGCGAGTTTTAAGAATATACGTTCGTGGCGGTCACGTGACCCCAAACTTTACAATTTGTCACAAATACACCTTTAGCACACATATTAGACACCAGGAAAAGATTCACTTACGTCATTTATAACAAATATTACCACGTTAGCCAAAGGGCCGGGTATTTTCTGTGTTTTTGTTAAAACGTCTTCGTTCGTTCTTCTGCTGTGATTTAACGTAAAACTAAAAGACCGACGCCTTCAGCAGAGCTGCTAGCAGGTATGAAAACATCTTCAGAACCATGTTTGTCTCACTAAAAGAAAAGGAAAGAGATGGGTTTATTTAGTATAGGAGCAACATCAGTGGAATTAAACGCTCCTGGATGCAAATGAGGAAATGTAACGACATAAATCCAAACCACCCAATTTTAAAAGTTTGAAACTCACACCTATTAATAAATTAGCCACCCAAAGGAATGCTGCAGCTGTTGCAATGGCTGAGGGCCAGTGGTGGCGCTAATGCACCACATCCATCACAGAAGAGTGTGTGTGTGTGTGTGTGTGTGTGTTATCACGTGTGTCATCCAGTCAAATTCACCCAGCCTAAAAAAGCCTCGCAGCTAGCCTGCCACAGAGCAGGCTTGTCCTCATGCATGCCACCACAGTGACATGCGTCGTCCATGACCGCGGGGGGCGGGAGGGAGGTGGATGCTCGGCCTGCTGGGTGAAACCCTGCTTTAAAGATTTATTATTAATGCTTAAAAGATCTTCGTCAGTCATTTCATTTATCTGCCCATAACCGTCATTTTCAAAGAAAGCACGCAGAAAAACAAACATGTTAATGAAAGCTGCCTCTTTACTCACACGCACCATCCCACAACAGGGGATGCAGATCTCAGCAGGCAAGCTCTTTCTGGCACAACACCGGTTTTCTAGCCCTCCACCTCCCGAGAATGGAACCTGCACTGCCAAAGGAAACGAGCAGTCGCCGTTTTCTAGAACCATTGTTGTCCGTGACTTCAGATGGTGATTTTCTTTTTGGGATTCTGGTAGTTTGTCCTAAAGTTGAAGTGGTAGCAGCCGGCCGTTTCTCCTTCTCTGATATTGTGGAGAGGAGACCCTCTCACACCTGTGGTGTTCTGGTGCTGAACACGTGAGGGGGATGAGTGGAGCACCCGGGGAAGTACGGCTGTTCGGTTAAACTGACAACCAGATGGTCCATTGCTTGGTTTCGGGCCTAGCCGTGTTCTTGGTGAAGGTTTTAATCAAATGTGAGAAAACCACTTTTCACCTAATCTCCACAATATATTTACAGCTGTACCATGTTGGAACGTTGTTAAGAGGCATGAAGACAATGTTTCACGCTAGCTTGTTTTGCAGATGTGCTTCTGTAGCTTAAACACAACTTAAAAGCACCAAGCGACGAGCCGGTTTTCCACTCGCCAGGAGTCGACTCCGAGACAGAAAAGAACGTCTCCCACTGGATTTTAATCAGCAGAACCCATTCAGACTGGAGAACATGTGACGGGATGTTCTGCTGCCATTCAGGGCCTTCAAAACTAATAATATAACTTGGAACTAATTCGGTAGTGAGCAGGAGTGATGGGGTCACGTTAGACACGGGGACAGGAAGTAGCGTTAGTCCCAGCTGAGGCGAACCACCAAACATAACCAGCTCTTTCCCAACAGCGTAAACGTTCACTCATCTGCTGATTAAAGATCTGACTGGTTCTGATCAGCTGAACAGAAAAGTTACTGGACGATCCGCAGCAGCAACATGCGGCAAATATGGCAAGCTGTTATGTCATAAAATGTGTGTGTTGCTTACACTCCTCCTCTCACATCGCCCTGTCGTCTCTAGTTTGTCACGTGTCTCCTTGGATGAATGTTCGTTGGTCGACTGCAGACCAGAGTTGTAGATTTTATGCTTGAAGACTGTTGGAGGCTGGAGTTGGAAGTCATTTTAGTCGGGAATACCTGAATCAATCACGACACTTGAAAATCCCGGAACAAAAGCTTCGTTTTGAAGGATTTCCTGAGTTTTCCACATCTGAAGGAATGTTTTTACAGAACCAACTCCATCCTGAGGTCCTCTGATTTGCCAGTGTGAACATTTACCATCATCATAATTGTTGTTCCACACAATAAACCTTTAGAGTGAATCTGAACCCAGGAGAATGGTGTCCCCGACTAACGTTAAAAGCTGCCGAGTCGTGATTGGTTAGGAAAACTCCAGAACTCCGTGGAAAATCCTGCAGCTGCTCACATGGAAACTGAAAACGATGCCAGCACTCGTCTTCGGTCTCACAGCCCGAGAAAGCAGCTCTGACCCTAAAGGATGCTTTCAGCACCGGGACTCCGATTAGATAAGGAGTGCAGCAGAAGTGATGCAGTGAGTTTCCTACCCCGGCCCCCAGAGGTAAACAACCCGAGCAACAAATAAACAAACAGCAGACTCACTCTTCCAGGAAGTTCTGCTGTGGGCCGATCACAGAGCCCGGCCTGCAGATCCTGATCCAGGCTATGGCCTCTCCCGCAGTGAAGCGGTAATGCTTCATCAGGTAACAGCCAATCAGAGTGCCCGTTCGGCCCAGGCCCGCTGATGGAGGAAGAGAAAGTTTGTTTGGCTCTTATGTTGAAAAATACTCCTGTTAAACGTCCTCTAGGCGTAAAAACATCATTTATGAGTTTTCTTAACTGTAAAAACATTTAAACATAAGAAATCATCAGCTGGAGATTCTGGATAAACACTTTAAGGCATCTTTACTGAAAAAACCTCTTTTGATGATCATTTCTGATGCTGATGGGTCACTAAGTTTGTCCTGCAGGTCGAACATGGAGACAGTCTCCTACACCTACCTCCTGCGTTAGCGTTTGATAGAAAATAAGAGGGTGAAACTCTAGGGGTGTTCATCAATATCAAGGAACCTTGCCTTGATGTCTTGGCCCCGCCCCGGTTGCCTAGGAGATGTGTCATCAGGAACCACCAAGACGTGTTCCAGTGTTCATGTTCTACCGAGGCGTGAGTTCTCCGTTTGTTAGCCGTTTAGCTAGCTGAGCAAGGATACACGGGAGGTGTCTTGTAGCCTAGCCTTGGTCAAAAATTACCCATAATACACCGCAGTGTTTTCAAAAGGACGGCGGATCAGGAGCCGGCAGCTACTTCGGGGACAAATTTCAAGTTTAAATCTAAGTCGGCTAACTGTAGCTAGCTTTGGTTGGGTAGATGCTTCGTTGTTGCAGCTTCGGTGGCTAGCGGGTAGTACCTCGCTTACATATTTAATTAAACAAACAAACACAATTAAAAAGTAAAAGGCTATATTGTTAATATTATTGTATTTACATTGAAACGTATACGTATGAAATATAACGTTAGCTCTAGTGTCACGTGACGTGACCGCCGTGGGAGCAGCGGTCACGTGACGTAAGGCTGCTCCTTTTAACCGTTTTCTTTGACCAAGGAAGGACAGCGTCCTCGTAAGCAAGACATCGCCTTGCTAGGGCAGGCGCCTTGGCGTTGACAAACACTCTAGGATTAGAAAAGTTTTTCAGATCAACAAGCCAGCTCAGACACCCACGAGAAACACGTAGAGCCTGCAGGTCCGCCAGAATCGACCCAGTTTGATTTAACATGGCTTAGAAAAGAAACCGAATCCTTCTCTCATGGGAGGACAACGGGGGACAGGAAGTCACTCACCCTTGCAGTGGACGGCCACAGCTCCAGCTGCATTCTCACAGATGTACAGGAAGCGACGAGTGATGGTGTCACTGGGCGTGCTGCCGTCCACAAAGAAGAGGTCATAATGCTCAAAGCCACCGTTGGTGAAGCGTTTGGCATCGTAGATCTTTTTATTCAGGCGAATTATTGTGCTCACGTTATGCTTCCTGAAGTAGGGGAAGTACGCCTCAGGAGCATGCAAGGGGTAACCTGCAGGGGGCGGAGCAACCACAAGCGTTAAACTGATCAAATGAGCTCAGTCTGTTCACAGCATCAACTCCACACAAAGAGATTTTCTCCAGAAAAATCAGAAAATCATAATAAATAACTTCATAACTGCATGTTGTGTTTCATTCAATAAAAGAGAAACTAGTTTAAAGTACCCAGATCCCCCACCAGAGGACAGAAAGTACCCAAGGAATGTAGTAATCCTGTTGAAGAGCTCTCAGGAAGTAGAAATCAGTGATTAGGGGCTATAAATGTAGTTTTCTAATCCGCTTTTCCTTACGCCCTGAATCACACATACTTCAATTTAAAGAGCAAGTCACCCCCTACCAGAGTATTACTCCACTCCCACTTCCTGTTTGAAAAATGCAACAAATGCTATTGCCTAGCAGACTGAGAAAGCAGAGCCGCTAACACACACACACACAGGCTTACAACGACATTGTGACATCATATGGTACCAGCTAACGTTATAGGATACCTCTTAGCCAATAGCGATGGCAGATTTAAATTCAAATGCAGTGCAGAGTTTTTACAACACTGACAGTTTTAGGCAGAAAATTAAAATTGTAACTAAAATGCACTAAAGTGCAAAACTATTGACGACACGTGTCTGCAGCAGGATTAGACACGCATTTATATAGTTTATCAGGAAAAGATAGTTGATTTGGGGGTGACTTGCTCTTTAAATGATAATAATTATGTGATTTTCGACTAGGGCTGGGCGATATGGCCTAAAATCAATACCGTGGTATATTGAGTAGTCCACCTTGATAACGATAAATGGACGATAACTACAGGCATGCACAGACACCAAAGCTGTCCACTAGAGGGGGCTGTCACGTGTTATAGTTGAGTCACGACCCGTACAGCCAACACGAACCTCGCCAACCTACACATTTTTTTTTTTATAATCGAATTTATCAACATGGGAAAAACAATATCGGTTCAAGTCAGAAACATTGATAATCAATTTTCAGTCTTAGTTTCGACTGCGTCTGCCACGTAATTAGAGATTTATGAAGTTGTAAAAATTTGTGAATAAAACAACTACAAGTCGGATGTAACATACAACGTCCCAGCAGAGGCTCTCCTCTACCAGCAGAGCTGCTACTGACCACATGACCAGATTCATGGCGGTTTTCTCCAAGTTTAATGCTCCCGTCGACCTGGAAGAAGCATTCGAAGCTCGCGAACCTCAGACATTTACAGCAGTATGGTGATGTAATCCTGGACGTATTTTCACACAAACTTTAGCTCCCATTTGAAAATAAGCATCAGAACGTGTCTTTAAAACTCACGGACATCATTTGTGAAATCCGTGGCTCATAAACAAGAGTAGAAAATAGCTTTTATAGACACTGACTCGCTATCGTTTCGTCTTATTTCCTAACACACAAGGTTTGATGACATCACTCTACAAACGCCAGCTTTAACGCTGAATGTTAGATTTGACAGGAAATAGGGAAAAGGTAGATTTTTACCTTTCAGAGTAAAAGTCTCGTCTCTAAACTTCTGCTTCTGTGTATTTTGTGTTTCACCAGTCTGACTGACAGCTTGCTTCAGAATAAAGACTCTGCCGAGTGTGTTGTTACACGTTTCTGAAGGTTTGATTATTTATTGTGTTGAAAACAGAAAAGCTACAGAATAAAGTCAAAAAATATATTTCCTTTAATAAATATTTACTAGGAAATAAAAGGTTTTCTCAATGTAATATATAAACAATATAAACCAAATAAAATCGTAAAATAAAAAGACTGAATCTGTTTCCTCACCGTTTTCTATTTTAGATTTGGGATGAGGTCCGCTGAAGGCCAGAAACTTCCCCGGGACAATCCAGTTCAGGTCTCCGTTCTCCACACGCTGAAGACGAATGAAATTAAAACAGTAAAAATCCTGATCCCAAGCTCTGGACATCCAAAGTATTCCTGTGATCCTCCTGAGGAGGGCGCTAGTGTTCATGTATCTGAACATCTTCGTTCAGCTGGACAAAACTGAACAGGTTCTCCTGTAAGGCCCTCCTCAGCTGCGTTTGTTCCGGAACAATTAACGGATTTACCTCATGGTGTTCGTACTCGTCCACATCAAACGTCTCAAAGTCAAAGAAGCCGTGCTGCAAAGCCTGGAAAACAGAAAAGTGACCTGATGTTGTTTCTTCAGGTAAAACAGAATCACGGCTCTTAGATCGGATCCTTGGAGGGTCATAAAGTTTTGGTTTTAAGGGATTAAACTAGGGATGCACCGATACGATACTGGTATCGGTTAAAGTTAATCGATACCAGGAACCGATACTAATGCAGTTGCTTGAAAATGGCTTCAGTGTAACTTGTCATTTCTGTTCACCTAATATTTTAGTTTAGTGATGATTTCTATTCATATATTTTACTTTTCATCTACCTCACAGTCTTTTCCTGTTGAAAGCAGAGAAAAAAATAAAATTGTGTTGCATTTTTTTTGTGTGGTAGAAGTATCGGTATTCGGTATCGGCGAGTACTCAGATCCAAATATTGGTATCGTATTGGTTTGGAAAAAAGGGCTATCGTTGCATCCCTAGAGTAAACTTAGATCTGGTAGAGAAGCTGTGCTGAAGCAGGGCGTGTAAAACCCAGGATGACCAGGAGCACCTTTCAGAACCAGAACTCTGGCTCATCCTTTGAGTTAGGAGCCTTTTCGTACCTGAACGATTCAGAGGTCAGAGTTCAAACGTTCCTTTGGAAAGGACAGAAAACATGAAACAACGTAACAAAAACAGAAAAGTACAAAGAAAAACGCTTCAGAAAGTCTGGAGAACTCGCATTAGGAGTGCGTTACTGGTCCGGATGAAAGACTTGGTGCAGGACCGGATCAGGGACCTGGTACCCAGCAAGTCTCCTCAGTAGTTCACCACTTGGTGACTGCTTGTTAGAGATGATGACAGATTAACAGCTCTGTGCTCTGATTGGCTGCTGTCCGTCGACGAGTACAACAGCTCCTTGTCCGGCTCAACGGTCTGACCCGTTATGTAACAGTTATCTGCTGACAGAACCACAGGCTGGGTCTGGAGCTGGCTCCGAGTCTCATCAGAACATCAGCTGATCCAGCATGACCAGAGGAATCAGAACCACCCGTCACAGCCGCTCAGTGACTGGTTCTCTTCCAGAGATTAAGCTAATTACTGAACTAATCAGGGAAATTATAATTATGCAGCAGAATCAGAACATTTAACCTTTAATAACTCTGACAGGATCTGGAAAAAAGCCTGCATCACCTGTTTTAGAACTGGATCTGGCTTAATCCTGAACCAAGAACTATTATCAATATAATTTATTAATAATAATGACTGCTCCCTGGAGGGCCTAGGCCAACCAGCCATTCCTCCCCATCCCCACACATTTCTCTCCTCCTGCTCCCTCACATCATCACACAAACATGCACATAGGACCTTGGGGGGTGGGCAAGTCAGGGAGTGCGGGTATGGACCCCATTTCCGCATTCCTGTGGCAACCTGCCCCCCAATTTTATTTGCACCTTAAACACTTCCACCGACGACATTCCACGCAAACACACACTTAGGGCCTTGGGAGTGAGCACACTAAACAGCACATGGCAGGGGGATTTCTCAGCCTCCTCCCGGGTGCCGGTGCCCACTTCCAATTTTAAATTACACTTAGACACAGAGGGCTGTGGGGGGAACAGGGGTGGTGCGGTGGCATTAGCTGGCATAGGCCAGACGATGCCCGCACTGCCCGCTCACCACAGCCACAAACACATCTCATCAACACGCACTAACACTATATTGGAGCAGATGGAGGGAGACTAGGGGTCTTAGCCACCTCTGTTGTTGCTTGGCTTCATGGGGCTGGAGGCTAGGAGGGAGATCTGGCCGTCTGGTTGGGGTCTGGGGTGGTGGGTTGCTGTGCTCAGCGTTGGGCGGGGGAGCCTGCTCATCAGCACCCCAGCAGGAAGGGTCAAACTCTGGTTACCGGTGATGGTTGTACCCCATGTGCAGCAGTACCGGGACCAGAGTTAATAGGGTGTGAATGGGGAGCATGAGTGGGTGTCCGGCGTGCATTTTTGTAAGTCTTGGGTTGTATGTGCATGTGTGAGCATGAGGGAGGGAGTGTGTGACTGTGTTTGTGTATGACTGTATGTGTCAGGTGGGGCCTTTGACTCCTCTCTTCTCCTGGGACTTCTTGTGCTGCAATACCTCTTCGTCTCCCCTCCCCCTGCCACACCTGGTGTGGAGTGCGGTGCCTTGGTCTGCCTGAGTGTTCGTGGCAACCGGGTCAGGGGGTTTAAGATGTTTAGCATCTGCCTGATCAATCCCGGTGGCTTCCTGGTGGGGTCTGGGTCCCCGGGCTCTGCTGGGTCCCTGGCGGGGGTGGTCGCCCCTGGGTGCCGGGTCCCGGGTCGCTGGGTTCCGGGCTCGGTCGGCTAGGGGGTGGGAGGCTGCGGGCGGGCCTGTGGGCTTGCCACTGATATCTCCCGGGACTCTGCCGGCTGCTGGTTGTGGCCCCCCGGGGCGATCCTCTGAGCCTCTCGAGGGGGGCAGGGGCTTTTCTGGTTACTGTCTCCCTGGGGTTCCTGTGTTCTGGGGCAGCTCCTGGATCTCTGGGACTTGGAGCTCCCTCCGTCTCCTACGCATCTTTGGGGGGGCAGATCTGTGGTCCCTCACACTCTCTGTTGGACGCTCCTATAGAGGAACCTTACATAAACAAGCGCGTGTACACACACAGGTGCTCTCATAAGTATGGGCTTGGGCACGTTCAACACATGTCTCAAGGCTATGGTTGGCACATTGTCTTTTCCTTTCTCTTTCACCTCTGTCTCTGTGTTTGGTTGGAATTATAAAGCAAAAAAAAAACAATCAAGTTTTAAGTATCAGGCGTGACATTAAAAGCAGACGCTTTGATGCTCCACCTGAGAGTAAATCTGTAAGGCTTGTCACCAGCATTCAGACATCAATTCTGCTTGCTTCACAGCCAGACAGGACACGGGGGAAATAATAATAATAATAATAATAATGACTGTTTTCTCATTTAGCAACAAGATGTTTTGCTGTAAATGCTAAAAATCTCTAAATGATACGATAAATGACCCGCCTTTCAGAGCCAGAGGACTCCAAAGCGCTTTACACTACAGTGAATCATTCACCCATTCACACGCTGGTGGGAATGAGCTACGATGTAGCCACAGCTGCCCTGGGGCGCTCTGACTGCTGAGCCCTGGCGCCACCGGTCCCTACGCCCACCACCAGCAGACGAGGGGGGTTAAGTGTCTTGCCCAAGGACACAACAGCAGCGTTCTCTTGCAGGATTACTGGACAATGCGCTCCACCTCTTGAGCTACCGATGCCCACTTCCTTCCAGAAGTCAGAACCATCCCATGACAAGGTCTGCTCTTCCTCTGCAACACAGGAGCTCACCTTCCTGATTCCCTGCAGACAGTCCAGCACTGTGAGGTTGTAGGTGCAAGTCCCATAGGAAGCGTCCCTGGAGAGGAAACAGAAAGAAGATGATCCATCATCATCATCTCCTTTATGTTTACAGCTATTTTAGTTTTGACAAAAGCTTCATCTTCATCAGGAGGAGCCTGAATGAGCTGAAAACAGCTGATAATCCTCATCCCGCTCAATAATGGTGTAAATAAATCAGGATGTTTGTGGAGTGGATGGTTTTCTCCCAGCTCATCAAATCCAAACAGGTTTGATTTTTACAGACACCTCAAAAGCTGAGGTCTGTACTTTTCATCAAAGGTTCACTTCCATTTAGCCTTTATTTATCCTAATGAGTCGAGTCTGGCCAAGAGGCGGCAGCAACAGACGCTCGGTTAGATTCACACCGGCTGTGAAACAGCACGTAAAAAACAGCATCCAGGAAATCCCGTTTTATGATGGAACGTGTTTATGTGGTCAACGGAACAGAAAGCAGGACCACGGGTCCCCGGAAACAAGAAAAATCAATGCAAGTCCATAAAAGCTATTCTCTGATCCTGTTTGATACGCGCCACACATTTCACTCATGATGTCCGTGAAG